CCCCAAAACCCCAAAACCCCAAAACCCCTTTATGAGCTTATCTGAATTGAATTAACAAGCATTAATTTAGTGAACTAATATCAATATATATTACAGCAGCCTCCACAGGCATTCATTCCTTTCTTTTCCTCCCACAGATTTATGTTCTTGTCATAACTACTACTTACTAATGATCCATTTGGCAGTTAAATCAGATCTGTTACTTGATTCAAGTGGCCACTCATCTATTTAAGCTAGTCTAAATGCCTGGATTCCTCTTCAGCAAATCCTTAACCCTCTAGCCAGAGTCTCATTGTGCCATTTTAGAATAGGCCCACCACTGGTTGCTACTGATTATCATTATTTATTTAGAGTCTTAGTAATTTACTCGCTCCTTTTGTGTTCATCAAAGTATTAACATCTATGCGAGAATCTTTATCTATAACATTGACTCCCTATTCATCAGTAATAGCTAAAAATCTTTCTTGTTTCATTAATAATGCACTAGTAGACTAAGCTATCCCATTCTATGATAATAGTATCTCTCTTAGTTGTTACTGATTTGGATAGTCATATATAACTGCAAGTCCATTTATTGAAAGGGATATCAAATACTTCCCTTAGCTAACAATAGAAGTGACTTTGCTTCCTTGATGTAATTTAGCTTACCTAATCATACATCTGTTCTTAAGATCAAAATCCATGATTACACCTTTGGCAGTTCCCAAGCATATAATGCTATTGGTGGAATTTATTTTACAAATGGCTGTAATCTCAGTACTATTTCTATAGTATTGAATAGCCTTTTACTGCTTTATACTTAAAAATTTAAGAGTAAATTTGGCTACATACACCAATGTGACATCGTTTTAAGGTGTCTTCCCTAATCTTAGCATAAGGGTGACTTCATCATCCTCATCTAGGATTCCTATGGGTTTTTACTCTAAAGGATACCAGACTTTTATAGTTTTATCAGATGATCCAGATATATAAGCACCGTTTATGAGATAGCATAGACAGTTTATTCGATCACTATGAGCATTCTTGACTACAAATGTGCATCCAAAGTTCTTATACTTAATATTGTCCCTCTTTTCATTGAAATCTTGAGATTAAATTCCTACTCTTTCAATTTATTTCTATTCCTCACTAAGACTTGAGGCTTGCTTTCGTACTAAGATCTATTTAACCATATTACCTTTGAATACCTTGGGAGGAGCCTCTTCCTCCTCTTCTTCTTCCTCTTCCTCTTAAACATCTTCTGCACTAGGATTTTTCTCTAGTTCATCGATAGTCTTGCGATGCTGGCCTCGGCTAGATTAAATGTTTAGCCTAATTTGATCAACATTAATTACTGTACTTTAGCCGCCTTCATTATTTGGATCTAAAAATTTATTGGTCTTTACTGTGACTCCTGAGCTACCTCCTAGCATATGAAGAGATTTCATGACATCAGACTAGTATCCTCCTGTGGGGTTAAGCTATTCATTGTCAGTGTCTATCATAAAAAGTTAACTCTTTTGATGAAACTTTGGTTCATCTTCTATTTTAATGTGCACAGTATCATTATCCATGTTAATCGCTGGAACAATACCGAAATCATCTTTGTCGTCGCTATCATAATCATTGCTATCATCATTAAAACTCTGATCAGTCTCAGTTAAGCGACTTTTCATTTTCTTTTCCATCATACTTCCTCTTTTATTTTTATTTGGATCATTTACATTTGCTTGCTTGTTTAAGTCTGTATTACTTGGCTATTGATTGTTTGGCTGACCAATATTTGCTAGTTGCTATTTAATATTAGCCAGACTGACGTATTCACCTTTCTTTATTTTGCCATAAGTTGTCAATGCAAGTTTAAATAAATCGTATTGAGGAGATTTCTCTGGTATTTTTATCTTAAATGCCTTCCATTAGGAATAAAGCTTATCAAGTTCATCAAGATCTTTCAAATCAGCAGCATTTGAAAGAGCAATTAATAGGAATATTACTTTTTTGACAGCTAACCTTTCATTCATCTCATATTCCTCCTCTTAGTATATTTGCTTAATATGATTAATAAATTCTACTCTGTACTGTAGAGGGAGAACTTAATTGATCAGACATATATCATACCCTGAGTCTTAGTCTATAATCACTAGCAAGTTATGATTCTAAATTTCGTATTCAAAGTAGAAAACATCATGCAATTGCTGCAAGAAGGTGATTAGATTAGCAATGAGGGACACCAGTTTTCCCTAGTCAATCAATTCTTCTACCTGGTCAACAATGCAATTAGACGCATCTACTTCAAAGCCATTAATGAGATTACTTTTGTTAATACATGCAAGTCTCATTCCATCATCAGCGTAGTCAATGCATAAATCATCGAACCCTTAAATTTTGCCAGGAAATCAGTCCATCAAACTCTGGATGAAGTAAAAATCTCCAATCAGATCGCACTCTACTAGATCTGACTGGATGTTTATTTTTGATATGTATGCCATTTAGTTTATCTCAGTTTAAGACCTCACAAAAAACCGCTGTTTTAAATCGAAAAATTCTATGGGCTATTTTGGTTCCAAAAAGAACTTTACAGATTCATGAATACAACTACTAAGCTTCCAATCAGAGGGATTTATATCCAAATCATCAAATTACAACTTAGCTAAGTCATAATCGTTGTCTTCATTAGCATTCATTGATTTATTTTAAATTTAATTATTTTTTCTTTGAATAATTGGTAAAATTATCACGCTTTAATTAATTGCTGCATTTCGAATTCTAACTACACACTTTGATTTTTAGATAAAACATTAATAACACCAACACAATCCTTACAAAATTCCTTAAATAAATAATAATTCTTTCTTGAAAAATACAGGTCTCAAACTATCAATATAAAGAAAAATACTATGGAAAAAGAATAGTTATATAATAAATCCTTGGACGACTTGGTTCAAGAAGACAAAAGAAACTTCAAAATTATGTCAAACACTGGAGGTGGTGGTTCAAGTAGCTTTAAAAGAAGATCTAATTCACCAAAAGGGGACTATGATAGGGGGATTAACCGAAAAGGGGATGCATACAGGAGAAGAGAGCGATCTAATTCGAATGGCTATAAATAGAGAAGCAACTTTGGTAATAGAGGGATAGAGAGAGGTAATGCTTAATTCGAAAATAAAAATAATAGGTTACTAATCCAATCATCAGAGAGAAGTTGGAACAAAGGTTTTTGTAAGTAATATGTCTTACTAAACGGACTGGAGATCCTTGAAAGATCATATGAAAAAAATTGGATTGGTACTGAGGGCAGACGTATTTGAAGACGAAAGGGGCAAGTCTCGCGGGATAGGGTAATTATTATATTGAATGGCGAGATGAGTGTGCTAATGAATGATGGTATTGTAGTGTTGTGGAGTATAAATCTAGTGGTGATGCAGCTAGAGCAGTTAAGGAACTTCATAATAGTAGTCTTGATGGACGAGTAATATTTGTGAGAGAGGTATTTAGATTGAGAACTTAATCTTAAAGGATGAGCACAGAGAGCGTGGAGACAGAGACCGTGGAGATAGAGATTGAGATTTGCTAGGAAATCAAAATGCTGGTAGGGGACAAGGTTAGGGTGGAAGTAGTAAGCCTAAAAGAAATAGCCGACGAAGATCAAGGTCATGTTCTTCTCTTTCTATTAAAAGAAGAGATGGGAGAGATAGGTCTAGGGACAAAGGTCGTGAAGGGGAAATTAAAAAAATATTTATAGGCAATTTACCCTACAGTGTCAATCCTCGATAGTTAAAAGAAGCGTTCTAGAGCTTTGGTCGAATCGCTGATGTTGATATAGCCATGGATGAAAGAGGAAAATCTAAAGGCTTTGGAACAATTTCTTTTTACAGCAGAAGAAGCGCTGAAGATGCCATTAAAACTATGGATCAGGCGAAGTTTAATGACAGGACTGTAACTGTTCGCTTTGATAGAAATTATTGAATTCGGACTATAAAAAGGAAGATTTAGTATTCTTTAATTTGATTAATTTCTTAAGATTTAGTAGTCATTAATATCTTTAAAATTTTGAATAGAGGGGTTTTGGGGTTTTGGGG